TCTGACCGTGGTTCACATCCTGCCCCTAATGGCTTAAAAAAACATGCCAGACACGTGCATAGGATCTAGACAGACTGGATGGAGTAATGGAGAAAACGATTGCTACATGACCAGGCCCTACTGAGGGTTATTCTCTCTCGCTTTTCTCTCTTCTCACTCTCTCTCACTGTGGGGCAAGAAAAAAGAAAAAGAGAATCAGCATTGTATTCAGTCCCCTATGCTTGTTTGACAGCCGTTCTTTGCTTCTGTTACCATATTCTGATTGATTTTATCCTATATTCAAAGAAAGAATGTCAAGGTATTCCAGAGCTTTTGCTGAATTTGTTTTCTTACTGCAGCACACCATCACACCGAGGCAGCACGTTCTGCGACAGTGTTGGAACCAGAGAGGTCTCCCCACTCACATGTTAGCGTGTGAAGCAGCATTCAGTTACAGGATGGAGCCAGGTTTTATGCATCCATCATGTCTATCTGAGAAGTTGCAAGAGTTCAAGCTTTTGTTGTGAAGGCATAAGTCATGTCCTTACTCAGTCTTGAGCAGTAACTGAGTTTCGACTGTGGGCCACATGCTTTACTTAGTGGTCAGGGGACAGCTCAGGCTCCCTTCTCACCCACAAGGATCTCACTTAAGTGCAGTGTTTAAAAATACGTTTAAGCCTGGCCCAGTAGTGCAGTGGTTAAGCGCAGTGTAGAGGGAGCTGCATCCACATGGCTAAGCTTGTTTGAATCATGTGTGTCTGTACCTGCTCAGAATTGCAAGAGGAAGGAGGAACGGAGGAGGAGGGATGGTGAGGCTCTGTTTGCTCCCTGGTGTACGAGACGTGGTGTCCACCTCGCAGGTGTCATTAAGAAGAGAGTCCATTCCTGTGGAAAGGGTGCAGCTGTCGTTTCTGGCACCTGCTTCCTTGTACTTCCTTGTGCGTGTGTTTGTAACATTTCTTTCCCTTTCTTCATTGCTGGAAGGTTCGTGCACTGGCCACAGAGAGAGAGAGGGAGGGAGGGAGGAAATACTCCTGACGGGGTATGGTCACACCACAGTCCCTTTTTCTCCCTTTCTCCATTCTGTCAGCATTTAGGGTACCCATGCACCTGGTGTGTTTTTCAAGCTGCTGGGTCCAGGTCTCAAACTTCCACCAGCCATCTCCGCCAGCTCTCTGTGCACAGCGCTTGGCTGCTGCACTGCAGGCTGCCTCGTGTGTGCGTTCTCATCACTGCCCAGCAGCGCTGCGCCCACAGCGACCCGGTTCCTCTGGCAGTCATGGATGAAGAACAGAACACTGTACCCGGCTCTGCTCTGAGTTTCTTGAAGATGAGCGAGTCTGCTCTGATTCTTTGTCATATTCCAAGCACCAAGCACAGACTAGAATTTCCTTAGTGGATCTGTTCTGGGTCCAGAGCAGAGGAGACCTGATTCTTAGGGTCTGGTTCACATTCAGCCAACTCCAAGGACACAGTATAGTTCATCTAATGAGGACAGTGCTTACAAGTGGCTCAGAGCTAAGCCGTCCACATTCTCCTGTGATGGGGTCAGACCTCCATTGGCAGAGGGTAGCGGGAAGGCCTGGGCTTGAGACAGCCTCTGGATACTGTCAGGCTCAGCGTGTGGTAACAGTGGCCTTTATCAGTCCCTTGGCTCATGAAGTGCTGCGTGGGCATTCCCAAAGACAGGCTTCCCTGGTACTTGTTTGCAGAGCGTCCTAGGTGACCAGCTCATTGCCCGTGGGATACGTCTCAGAGTCCAGCCTTGTATACCTTAAACCCGTTTTCTCTCACTTCCTTGTAGGTTCTGTGATCTGAAGCAGTTTTCAGAACAGCTCTGTTTTTAATCATTTCATGCTTTGCCATAGTCCTCAGCCCTAGTGCCATTGGTCAAACGTGTCCCCATGAATTCATGTGCTACAATTTGGTGAACCATTATAACATCGTTCTTAGGGTGGAGACCTGGTCTGATTGCAATATGGGAATTTGTGGCCTTTGGGAAGTGACTAGCCGTGGGGTGGGACACAGTGGGAGAGGGAATGAGACACTCTGCTCGCTTGGCACGCACTCCTGCCCTCTGTGTGTCGTGATGCACCAAGGAGGCCTCCCCAGGACTGGTACCGTGCTCTCGGCCCTCTCTGCCTCCAAGGCCATGAGCAAGTATGTGGGACTCTGTTTTCGTGAATCACCCAGGCTTATTTGTGGCTGTTCCTCGCAACAGAATGGACTAGAACACCCAGTCTCAGCCACCCACTGCCCAGCTTACCTGGCTTTGGCTCTTTCTACTTTCCTATCTCCATTTTATTTGTAGGTGCTGTCCAGTTCCCCATGTGTAAATACCTTGGCAAGTGACTCTGCAGTTTCTGCTGCCCGCCTTCCCCTCTCCTGTGCTCCTTCCTAACTGGTCTGCAGCTGTCCACCTGATAGGTTGAGTTGGCAGGCTGGAGGACCACAGTTGTGTCCAGGAGTAATGAGACTTTACCTTCCTCCCCGAGCTTGCCTGTTTAGTCTGTCTGGAAGTTGAGGCATGTTGGTTCCTCGATTTCCTGTCATCTTCCATGTGATCACCCACGTACCCTCAAGGTGCTGAGTGTTCCCGATCCCAGCGCCTCGAGGTCTAGGCCGTTAGCTCTCCTTGCTGGACCTAATGCCGTAGCCTGGCAGATCTTTATGCGTTTTCTCTTGCATTCTCCCACAGCCCTTCATACACAAGGGCAGAGGGAGTTTTTAAGATAAAAATCTCGTGCTGGGGGTGTACAGTCCCCAGTGTCTGCTCGCTCACCTTCCAGGGATCTGGTCCTTGCCTTTCCCAGGCCCACTTTGTGGTTTTGTCATTCCAGTAACTGCAGCCTCCCTGATTGTATTCCCATCTTTCCAGCTTTCTCTCTGTGGTGTCCTAGGTTCCAAAGGGCATTTCTAGCCACTCTGTAGAGGCCGTTGCCCTCATGACCCCACTGACGTATGCCCACCTCAGCAGCCACACGTCTGTCCTAGGCCTCTCACACTACCTCTGGGATTTGCAAGTCACTTCAGCCCCTCTGCCCACAGTCCCAGTGTCCTGGCCTTGATCCCATCTGTGTGCCATGCCAGGCAAGCGCTCTCGTGAACTCCAGTGACCCCTTGCATCAGGCTTCTTGATGCTCCATGCAGGTGCCTGGTGCCCTCCCGGCCTCCACTCTGACTGCCACTCACCACCCAGGTTTTGCTGTTTCAGTTCAGTGGCAGTTTTTCCTGTCAGTGTTCCCTGGTTTTATTTTCAAAGCAAATTCAGAATATGACCACTTCTCACCCTCTTTCTGCTGCTTTTGTTTGCTTGTTCTTTGTTCTTTGTTCATGATAGAGCATGTGCATGTTCATGTGTGTATGGGAGAGAGATGAGCCCACCTACAGGCCTGTCTGCTGTGATCACCTCCCGTCATCCTTCCTACTGTCAGATCTTGGGCACTCACACACATGCCTGGCATGATTCAGTCAGGCCAGGCCAGAGATTTGAACCAGTTTCAAACATGGACTCTAGCTTCTTTTGAGCAGCGCCTTAACCACTGTGCCCCAGACCCAGACTCCTTTCTGCTTTCATCCTGTGCAGATTGTCACCTCCTGCCCAGGTTGCTCGGGCAGACCCCTCCTTGGGCTCTCTCCTGCTCTTTCACACTGTTCGTAGCACAGCGGCCTGCATGCCTGTTCCGCTAAGTCAGACGAACTCAGAGCCGCCGCGTGGCACCTCCTTGGGCTGAGAGCCTTGTTCTCGCCATGGCCACTGGGCCTTTGTTCTCTAGCCCCTCGGACCCCTTCATGTCGTCTCTACCACTGGCCTCCTCAGGCAACTGCACATACCACGACCCGGGTCTTCTGGCTTGGAGAGCACTTCCCTCCAACGTGTGGGTGTCGTGTGTGGAGAGGCAACTGAAAGAGGCAAAAAGCAGCTCCGGAAGACCACCCATCTTCTCTTCTCACCTCACAGGAGCAAAGGCATGGTTATCGCCCTCAGGCGTGGCTGTGTGCTCACCAGGGCTCACGCATGCCTGTGCGCGGGTCTCACCTGTGCGCGCTCTCCTTTCAAAGGCACCTGTACTGTACAGGCAGGCTGTTTGTCATCTCTTCTAGTGTCACAGCAGGAGACAGATTTGTTTTGTTATGAGGGAGAGTGATGAGCATCCCCCACAGTGTCCTTGATGCAGCAGTCCACCCTGGCCTCAGCCTGCCTCCAGATCGTGGGCATGTACATGCCTAGTGCACTCAGGGCCTGAACCCGGAACCATCCTGCGTGGGCCAGGCAGGCAGAGAGTTGGGATTTTCTTCCGTTCCGCCATCTGGCCCTGATAGGAACGTTAACATCAGTGAGTTCGTTGTGCAGAGCTGTTTCTCGGATTGCAGAGAATAGTGACTGGAGAGACCCTTCAGGGCTGGCACATGCCGGAAGGCGTGGCCCTGCTGCTCTGTGTATTACTACATGCCTGACTGCGGCGAGTCTCCTCATCCCGAATCTTTGTCTTTAATCTTTTCTAAAGAGTAATACCCTAGAATTTTATTTTCTGGATTAAGGGTTATTTTTTATTTTTTAAGTTTTTTTGATTTGTGTTGCCCTTCAGAAAAGCCTGTTGATTTCTTTTCCAACAGTCAGAAGTATGAGCACCTTCAGACCTTTGCCCACCACTGCAGGGCTTGTGCACGTGTGGTCACTTTTCTAATGCCCAATTTCGACCACCTGTTCTGCCTTGAAGGTTTCTGTTTAACAAAAAATGTGTTATACTATTGGACTGTACACTTAAAAATGGGTTGGGTGGTCAGTTTTATATTATGTGCATTTTAGTATATGTGCTGCCGAAGCGAGCACTATATTATGTGCATTTTAACACAATTATAAAAAATGAAGTCTGACAAATACATTGTCTGACAAGTAGGGTATTTTGTAGTATGTGAATGTAGGTGGTGATTGTGGTGGATTGGGAAGAAATCTTAACATTATGCCATGGATTTGCCTCATTGCGAGCGTTAAAAGGTGTTTGTATTTTATCATACAGGCCAAAACACTAAGAAAATTGATCCAGCAAACATTTAGACAGTTTGCCAACCTTAATAGAGAAGAAAGCATTCTGAAGTTCTTTGAAATCCTGTCTCCAGTGTACAGATTTGACAAGGAATGCTTCAAGTGTGCTCTCGGCGTAAGTATGCCAGTATGGGAAGCAGCGGCTTGGTCTGATTTCTTTTGCTTTTTCTTGACCATGTATATCTAAGTTTCTGATTCAAAGAAAGCTAATTTGACAGCATGAGAAAACTATTTGTCATTTTACATGGTGAAAAATGCAAATAGAAAATGTACCTATGTGAGAATAAAATCACCTATTTAAAATAGCATGCCACTTAAGTTTCTTTACCTTTTTGTTTTAAAATTTTTTTTAATTGCCGGAAGGTATACACCCTCACCAGAGAGAGAAAGCACTCTCCAGTGGATTATGATGAACCAGCTCCCTTTTCTTCCGTTTCTCCAACCGGTCAGGATTTTGAAAACGCACCGACACAGACCTGACGTGCTTTTTAAGTCACCAGGGCAAGATTCGAACCACACTTGGCTGTGTGGAGTCTGGCTCCCCATGCACTTGACCACTGGGCTACAGGGCTGGCCCAGTTAGGCTCTTTATTCCGGCCCCATGGTGTACTGGCCAGCGCTCTCTGTGGCTAGTTTACCTATCCAAGTAAGCGCCCATAGAGCCCGTTGGCCTCAGGTAGATAGGAATGAGCACAGAGTACCTCTGTCCAGACCCAGCGGGTCCTGGGTTACTGGGGCTTTCCATGTTCTTACTAGGGCACAGAAATGAACAGCGAACCAAGCCAGCCCCCCAGGGTCCTTTAATATATCCATGGCTCTTTATCGAAAATATTTCTTTTTTCTTCCGGTGTCTCTGTCCTCACTTGTTTTACCTTCCAAAAGTCAAGCTGGATTATTTCAGTGGAGCTGGCGATCGGCCCCGAAGAAGGGATCAGTTACCTCACAGACAAGGGCTGCAACGTAAGTCTGGTCTGCGGGCCACCGGGACTTGGCTCGAGGAGAGAAGAGTTGGATTTAGGAAACGGCATTCTTGTCCTCCTGCAGTTGAATCTTCTCATTGCACGACACTTGTTCAGAGGAGGAGGGTGGATGAGAAAGTCTAAGCCTCTGGCAGGTCCTCAGAATTTTTTAGTTCTGGAAGGAAATGAATCATACAAATCACATATGTGTTAGCAACACCCAGATGGGGTTGTTACAGTTCACCTGGAGATATTTTAAAGATTATTTTTTATTTAAGACTTCATATATGATTTGAGCGTACGTGTATTTGTATTAGCCTCATACCCTTTGAAACAGCCTCTTCAGGCTACTTCCAACAAGAGAATTCATACGTCTGCAACCCGGCTCAGATTCCCGCTAGCATTCCGTCCATTGGATGGAAGCCCTCAGCTTGTCTCCTGTCACTCAGCCCTCCCTGTTTTGTTCTCTTCTCAGAAGTGTTCACCTTTGCCTGTGTGTTCTTCTTTCATCCTTTTTGAGCACCTGCTGGGTGCCAGGCACTCCCCAGAGGGTTAAGATACAACAGGAACAAAAACAGTGGAAGTCTTCACCTTGCTAGCTAATAGGCAGGGGCACAGAGCAGACCCGGGATGGGTCTGCGCTGGTGTGTGGAGCTGGTGAGGGCTGGTGTTGGGGTTGTTCTGCTCTGGGCTGCATCCCCGGCCTCAGGCCAGCACGTGCTCTTTTTCATTCATGGGGTTTTGTATTGTTAACGTCTGCTTAGTGTATTCAGACACTCACCACACACCTAACCTTACACAAATATGTAAATGTGAGCAAACCATGCCCTATCGTGCCTGCTCTTTACAGGTCCACTCTTTGGTTTGCATCCTCTCTCTTCATGGTCCTACCTCCACTGATCCTTTTTCTTCCTTCCCTGCTCCCCCACTCAAACATAAATGACTCAGAAGTTCCTGACTCCTCAGTGTTTGCTCCTTCTTAGGATTAGAACCGGGGTCACCGTTGACTGTACTGTCCACCCACCAACCATTGGGTTGCGTCCCTCTGGGAGCCAGTAGACATGCCTTTGAGTCCTCCCCGCTCTGCCCCTTCTCTCTGGAGGCCAGATGGGACTATTTGGAGGGCATTGATTTTGCTTTCAGGTTGCCTCCCTTTTTTTTTTTTTAAGACAAGAGAGATTTTTACTGTAAGGTACATGCACTCACTGGAAAGAGAGGCAGAAGGTGAGAAATCACCCCTGAGGGGGAAAGGCCATGCCACAGTGCCTCCACTCTCTTCTTGGGATTCTGGGCATGCATGCACACGTGCCCAGTGTTAGTTTGAAGCTGCTGGCTCTGGGACTCAAATCATATTTGGGGACCAGCAGGTGGCGTGGTGATTAAGGCGCTGGACACTCCCACATGGCCGACCAGGGTTCGAGTCCTGAATCTGGTGGCTTGCTTTCTCACTTCCTCTCTCTCACTCTCAACCTCTGTCTCTTTCTAGTCAAATGAACAAATAAATGTATTAATAAATAAAATAAAATAATTATTTAAAAAATCACATTTGGCCTTGTGGGAGCCCAGTGACATAACCTTACCGGTCCCTCCTATTTTTTTTTTTCCTCTTTTTTTTTTTTTTTTTTTTTACGGTTTTTGCCATAGAGCATGTGAGCTCACTGTAGAGAGACTGAGAGGGGAAAGTGAGAAATCACTCCCCACACACCAGGGGGTTGGCCACACTGCAGTCCATTCTCCCCCGGGATTTTGGGCATGCACGCACATGCAGACATGTGTGCCTGGAGTGACTTTCAAGCCATGGTCAGCCACATGGGTGTCTACTGCTTTAATCACTGCTCTACCTGTTGGCCTCTGCTTCCAGATTTCTACCCCAAAACAGTGACATGATAAATACTCTTTAGCAAATACCTTTATATACTGCTTTTTCTCCTTAAGAAGAAAATTCCCGGGACCAGCAGTTATCCTAATGGCTATGTCACTGCACTCCCACGTAGTCGACCGCAGTTCAGGTCCTGGACCCAGTGGCTTAAACTCATGCCGGGCGCGTGTGCGTTTGTGCCCAAGATCCTGAGAGGAGAATGGAGGAGAAGGGATTGCGGCATGGCCATCCCCCCTGGGGGTGATTTCTCGCTTTCTGTCTCTCTGTCTCTCTCTGTCTGTCTGGCAAGCGCACGCACCCTATAGCAAAAACCTCTTAAAAAAAAAAAAAAAAAGATTCCCAGGGCTAGAACTGCAGGATCCATCAGATTGTTTGAATTTTAAAAGATGCAACAGTGTGTTTATTATGCGTTCTTTACCTCAGGCTAGCTGCTGACTCTAAACAAACCAATATCAGAACTTCTCGATGTCCCCACTCTTTTTTTTCTTTTTTTGGAGAGGTTTTTTTGCTATAGGGCGCGTGCGCTCGCCGTACAGACAGAGACAGAGAGATAGAAAGCGAGAAATCACCCTCCAGGGAGGATGGTCATGCCACAGTCCCTTCTCCTCCATTCTCCTCTTGGGATCTTGGGCATGCACACACATGTGCCCGGCGTGAGTTTAAGCCACCGGGTCCGGGACGCGAACCGCAGTCGTCTACGTGGAGTCCAGGGACATAGCCATTATGATAACTGCTGGTCCCTCAATGTCCCCACTCTTCATCACTGGTCTTGTACCTCCAGGGTGGCCACCCTCCTGACTGCCGGCATCATTGCTTAACTTGTGCAGAAACGCCTCTGGGCCCAATGGATATTTACAGTGGTAAATAGTGTTTTTTTTTTTTAAGATTATTTTACTTTATTATTATTTATTTTTAAATTTGCTATAGGGCATGTGCGCTCACCGGAAAGAAAGTGAGAAAGCAAGCCACCAGAACTAGGCCTCAAACCACAGTCTGCCCTGTGGAAGTCCAGCACCTTAACCACCATGCCACCTGCTGGCCCCCAACTGTGAATTTTTTTTTTTTTTTTGAGGGGTTTTTGCTATAGGGCGTGTGCACTTGCCAGAAAGACAGAGACAGAGAGATAGAAAACAAGAAATCACCCCCCAGGGGGGATGACCATGCCACAATCCCTTCTCCTCCATTCTCTTCTCCGGATCTTGGGCATGCGCACACACGCACCCGGTGTGAGTTTAAGCCACCGGGTCCAGGACCCGAACTGTGGTCAACTACCTGGGAGTCCTGCAACTTAGCCATTATGCCAATTGCTGGTCCCCCAACCGTGAATTCTGACCCCAACCACACATCATAACAAAAATCAATTCCAGAAGAAGTATACGTATACAAGGAAAAAGGATAAAAGTTTTAGAAGAAAACATAGGAAAATATCTTTATAACTTTAGGGTAGACAAGGAATCTTTTTTCTTCTTTACACAAACTGCATCCTGCCACTCTGGCTCAGTCTCCTAGCTGGAGGTCCAGGTGCGCACTCGCTTGCCCGGCTCTTTCTCACACAGGGCCTTGCTGTGTTGCAGAGCCTGGTCTCGAGCTCACAATCATCCTGCCTCAGACTTGCTGAGCTGCTGGGTCATAGACTCATGTTACCATACCCAGCCTTTAGGTTGGATCAGAAATTGAATCCCCGTCTCTCACGTGACTCCAGCCTACAGAGCCCCTCTTAGTCATGTGTACCCCACAGGTGGGCCAGAGATTCCATAGCAAGACATAGAGAATGCTCATTCTAAAGAAAGAGAATTTTTTTTAATTGCCAGAGGGCACATGTGCTCACCAGAGAGAAAGGGGAAAAATGTACCCCCAGTGGGGCACACACAATCCCTTCTCTATCTTTTCGGGTTTAGGGCACACACACAAACATACCCTGCGTTGTTTTTCAGGCCACCAGAATGAGGAGTCAGACCAGAATTGGCCATGTTGAATCCAGTTCCCTTAACTACTAGAGTATGGGATTAACCCTAAAGAAAATTCTAATAAATTAAACTATGTTGAAGTTAAGATCTTTTTTCATTAAAACATAGCAGAAAGGCAATATATATTTTGACTGTATTTGACAATAAATTCTTAATTGAAGGTGAAGGATAACTACAAACCATTAAGAAGAAGGTAACTCAGTAGAGGGAGGGTATCCCTGGTCAGGGAGTGGTGGAGAGGAGCGTGCATGGCCTTGCTGTCATCAGGGCAGCGCAGTGTGATGCGGTTGCACCCCTCCTGGCCGGGAGGAAAAGGGCAGCCCTCATAACATTCCAGAGAAGGCACAGGCCTGCTTCCCTCACATTAAACTCAGTCTTGTTCTGTGCACAGCTCTTTGCGGGCTTGGGCTCCAAAGTCAGATTTCTTACCCATGTGAATACACACGGGGCAACTTTTCATTGTCAGGGAATTTCCCACACATTATGTGATGTGTATTCTTTTTAAGAAGCAGGGTGAGAGGTTAGCAGGTGGTATGGTGTTTAAGATGCTGGATACCCCCACATGGCTGACCACAGTTTGAGTCCCGAACCTGGTGACTTGTTTTCTCTCTCTCTCTCTCTCTCTCGCTCTTCTCTCTGGTCAAATTGAAAATAAATGAATGTATAAATAAAATCAAAATAAATAATTCTTTAAAAAAAAAAAGCAGCAGCAGCAGAGTAGTTATTCTACTGGATAATGACTGTAGGCTCTCCTAATGTCCCAAGAGTTCAACCTCTGTTGAAGTTACCCCATGGATTCCCACTGTCTCCCTAGCTCCAGCCTACTTAAAAACTTCGTAAGTTCCAAAAACTTGTTCTGTTCAGGGTTCTTTGAAAGTAAGCACAATCCTCCCTCCGTGGGAAGCTGTGTTTTCTTTAACCAAGAGTTCTTTTTAGGTTTTTCCCAGTAGGGCACATGTGTGTATGTGAGAGAGAGAGAGAGAGTAAGAAATCACCCCTCACGATGGATGGACACACCACTGCCCCTTCCCCTCCTAAGATTTTAAGCATACATGCACACGTGCCCGGCATGATTTTAAAGCTGCCAGGTCTGGAACTCAAACTGTCGTTGGCCATGTGGGAGTTCATACCTCAACCACTACATTACCTGCTGGTCCCTAACCACAGATTCTTTAAGGTTCCTCCAAGACGTCACTGAATCAACCAGGGTTCCCTCTGTTTCCTTCTTCCTGTCCCGTGTGTTTATTTCTGTGCTGCCTGTACTTTCACTCACCAGCCTACGGGTGGTGTCCTCAGGACATCACCTCTCATACCACAGGGCTCGGGAAGTGGTTTCAGGACTGCTCCACTGCGCTCCGCCGGGAGAGCCGATTGCTCCCTAGACTTCGGTCTTGGGGAGCATGGCTGCAGGAGAATGGGATGAGGTGGGGCCGTGGGAATCCCACAGAGCAAATAACAGAATCAGCGGCGTGGTTCTAAGGGTTTTACCTTTTCCCTCCAAAGCCCACACATCTGGCTGACTTCACTCAAGTGCAGACCATTCAGTATTCAAACAGCGAAGACAAGGACAGGAAAGGAATGCTACAGCTGAGAATAGCAGGCGCTCCCGAGGTAAGGGCCTCCCGAGGTAAGGGCCTCTGGCCACACTGTTATGTGAAAGCTGCAGCATGGCAGCATTCTAGAAGTAAGAATTGTTGGGGAATAAGCCTGGGGTATTCGTGCGCCATCAGAACCACAACTTTGTCATATATAGGAAGGGTTACATTGTGACTAATAAATGTTGAATGTTCCCAAGAATAGGATAGGAGACATTTAAAATCAATCAGGAGGCCCAGACACTCTGGTTCAGTGGCAGTGCAAGTGCCCAGCAAGGCTGGAAGCCATATGGCCAAGTTCAGGTCCCCTGGTTGGCCTGAGAACACTCCAGGATAGGCACAGGTGCCCAGGTTCTTAAGATGCTGGAAGGCTGGGAAAGGGGGATCACAGCATGACAAGACTCTGTGAAGGATGCTTCTTTCTTTTTGTATGCATGCACTATTATCTTTAAAACAAACACACAAGGAAACCAGCAGTTAGCGTAATGGCTATGTCACTGGACTCCCACGTAGTCGACCACGGTTCGTGTCCCAGACCTGGTGACCTAAAACTCACGCCGGGCGCATGTGCATGCATGCCCAAGATCCTGAGAGGAGAATGGAGGAGAAGGGATTGCAGTGTGACCATCCCCCCTGGGGGTGATTTCTCACTTTTTGTCTCTCCGTCTCTCTCTGTCTGGCGAGTGAACGCGCCCTATAGCAAAAACCTCTCCAAAAAAAAAAAAAACAAAAAAACACAAGAGCATTATTGCAAAGTTGACTAAAGATTATCAGGATCTATCATTTCCTCGGGGAAAACAATGTCTTGGAGATACAGGTGCATGTCTGTCTGTGTTCCGTGTTCTATGATCTGTATTATTTCCCAGGCTCTGTTGTTCGTGACCTTTCCTGGGTAGTCATGCAATCACAGTGCAGTAGCTGATGCTTCCTGGGCACATACCTCCTTCTGTTCTTTATACAGAATTCAAGAGAAACACTTGACATTCTCACAGCCAAGCGAAGTAGGTATTTTGAAATGCTGTGGCTAACCTTATTCTTCAGATGGGGAAACTGAAGCCCAGGTGGTCAGCCACAAAGTAATGTTGATGGTGCTCAGACCCAGCCTGGCGCCATAGCTGTGTTCTCAATCTACATGAATAGGACATCGAACAAAAAGTGCCATGAGAAAGGGCTGTATGTCAGGTCCTGCATGAGGCGGCCATCCCTGGGTAGCCAGTGCGTCACGGAGGATAAGAGTCTCCCAGCCGAGTGGCACACGGTTTTGCTTGTTTGCAGAGCATATTACTTGGACCTCACCTATTCCTGCTCAGCACGCTAGAATTCTTTGGCACGCCCAGCCTCTTCTCCGTGGGGTTGATGTGCAGAACTGTTCACTCAAGCAGATGCTTCTGCACCAGTCTGCCCTGTGTTCTGTGAGCCTCATGACATCTGAGGCTCCACAGAGTCTGTTGAGCCTCAAGATTTAAACAAGGATCAGGACTAACAGTTGGCGTAATGGGTATGTCGCTGGACTCCCATGTAGCTGACTGTGATTCAAGTCCCGGACCTGTTGGCTTAAACTCACGCCAGGCGCATGTGCGTGTGTGCCCAAGATCCCACGAGGAGAATGGAGGAGAAGGGATTGCGGCATGGCCATCCCCCCTGGGGGGTGATTTCTCGCTTTCTATCTCTCTGTCTGTCTCTGTCTTTCTGGCAAGCGCATATGCCCTATAGCAAAAACCTCTCAAAAAAAAAAAGAAGATTTAAACAAGGGTTGTCTTAGAACGTTGAGAAGTTGTTTCAGGTTGAGATTTCTTGCGAGTATCTCACTGATGTTTTACACCACCTTCTCATGCTGGCCACCTTTCATTTGGTCATATCCCCCAAATGATGCTTCGAATAATACAGGTGAGAGAAGTTGTTCATCGAAAAGGAGATTATGACATAACTACGTTAATTAAGACCTGCATGTATTTGGAAATAAAATACAGCTTTTGTTATCTCCTGGATAGCTCTTAACAATAGCTCCTTTAGGAAATTAATCAAAATTGAACATCTTTTATAATGAAAAAAGTGATTTGTAAGCCTTTGAGCAGAACATGCTGAGCATGCTAAAAATAAGAATGAAATTTCACTAATTTTTTTTTTTGAGAGAGATTTTTTGCTGAAGGGCATGTGCACTCGCAGGGGAGAAAGACAGAGACAAAAAGCAAGAAATCACCCCCCAGGGGAATGTCCGTACTGTAATCCCTTCTCCTCCCTTCTCCTCCAGTCTCCTCTGGTATTTTGGGCATGTACACACACGCACCCTGCATGAGTTTTAAGCTGCTGGGCTTGGGACTTGAACTGTGGTGGGAGTCCAGTAATGTAAACATTATGCCATCTGCTGATCCATCACTAATTTTTTAATGTTAGAAAAATTATGACAGATGGCTAACAAAATTTTTTCCCATTAGTCTAGTTTCTATAACAAGTCAAATGCTAATTTACTGATTATTTCAATTCTTCCCTTACTTAGAATGCACCAGAGGGTCCAGACATTCTGGAGGAAAATATTCTATCCTTCTCCTTTTGTCCTAGTACGTGAGATTCAGTTTAAGTGACTTTTCTGTTTTTATCTGACTTTGCCTTCTGCCACAAATTCTAGGAATGATGTCCTAAAATATTAAACTTCCCTTTTCACTCAGATGTTACGACCAGTCTTGTTTCTCTCCCGCTCTTCTCTGTTCTCAAGTGTAAGTGGAGGTCTGATGTCATGGTGCAGCTGTCTCTTTGATTACTGGGAAGAACAATAATGTCTCTCTCTTGGTCTTCTCTCTGTTCAGCCTCTGACAGTGACGGCACCATCCCTAACCATTGCAGAGAATATGGCTGACCTGATAGATGGCTACTGCCGGCTGGTGAATGGAGCCACGCAGTCTTTTATCATCAGGCCCCAGAAAGGTGAGATTCTATTTCTGTCTGCGCATTTCCAATTAACTGATCGACTAGCTCAAACATACACATGCACGCGTGCACACATACACACACACACACACACACACACACTGCCTATTATCCTGCTCTTAGGTAATTTTGTTAATGTGAAGAACAAATGAGTAATTCAGCTTCCTATATTCTGAATTCTCATTTTTATAGGAGTGGTGATCGAGGTCATGCTCCCCACAGGTCAAGAGGTAGCATAAAGGAAACATTACCCATGTTTGTAACACTGTGGTCGGAGCCACCTACCTAGGGTATTTTCTAAATTACCATTAGTTGTTTTTTGTGTATGTGTGTGTGTGTGTTTCTTTTTTTAAGATAAACTTGGGATTATGTTCTGGTGGTGGTTTTCCTTGTAAATCAGTTAGATAAAGTCTTATTAGAGATCTGAAGCTTAGGGCAGTCGAAGAACAATTATGTTCCAGATCATGAAGTAAAATCAAAGACCAGGATGAGTAAATAAATACCCTAGAAATGGTTACCTGTGTCACATCAGAAATGAGGAGTTTTTGCAGGCATATAACAAGGAGTGTTTCAGGGAATGTGGGTTTCTGAAATGATCAGGTGAACATATTCCCGCGGGGAGCAGCACATGGTAAGAAAGGACAGGCCTGGGCTTTGGGATGGCACTGGTTTGTAAGTTCAGATAGTGAGTCCTCCGTGCTGCCGTCTGCTTCCGCACAGGACGTGAGAGCTGTGCAGTGTTGGGAGACACAGGACAGGACTGCCTGGCACCTGCAGGCTTCGTAAGTTCTAGTTGCAGCGTTGTCCTGGGGCTCTTCCTAGCTGTAGTATGATCTGGATACACTGCGTTAACCTTGACTTTGGGGTTCCTCACCCATAACGGAGGAGGACATCTCCTTTGTCGGGTTGCTTGATGAGAGCTGGAGAGTCACCATGAGGTCATTTGGGCTGCGGGGGTGGGCGCTGCACACGAATTCTGTTCTTATCGCCAGGATAGCCCCAGAGCCAGGATAATTAGGGTACACAGAGCCCTGCAGTTCAGGGTACTCTGTGTCTGTGTACGCAGGTCTGTGAGGTAGTGAAGACACAGGAAGACCCAGGGGAAGCCAATGACCAAGGGCTAGGTAGGCCCCCGGTGGCAGCATGAACCAGCCTGCCCTGCAGGGAAATGCTCTGCCTGTGAAGCTGTTTGAGGGTGGTGTGTGTGTGTGTGTGTATGAGAGAGAGACAGAGACAGAGGAGTCATTTCATTAGACCCTTTGTTTAAAAAGTGGTGGCGGTGTTGCTCTCCAAAAACAGCTGCAGCCATAAACCAAAAATCTATTAAGTAAACATAAGTCTACTTAATGACCCTAGGATATGGTTCATTTAACAGAAGTGTATTCCCATTCAATCACACCGGTAAAGTCTATTCATACATTCTCTCTAAGACACAGTAAGTATCTGTTAAAGTTTCTTTGTCTGAAATGCTGTTATGAAGTTGCCTTCAGAGATGGCTGAAGTCATGAGTGGTGGGTGAGAATGCCTCTCCCTCCGGTACTGCCCACAGACCCCCTCTAAGGTGGGAGCCAGAGCCGCCGAGGGTGCTGATAGGAATGGAGCAGTTTCTGTGGCATTTCCTCATAAAAGCTATTGAGAGAAATAGAAATTTTAAGCAAGGGAAGGATTTCGTGAATTTGGGAAGATTCTGGTATAATTCAGCTTAAGTGGATTAGAAGATTGGAAGAGCAGCTCTGTTACAGGGCTCTTGAATTAATCCACATCAAAGAGGTTAAATCCAGTGCTTCCTGGTTCACACACAGAGAACTGGGAGAGGGAAGGTCGCCCCAGTTATTGAAGACCTTCCTGAGCTTCACTGCGATGAGGCCAGTGTGAGCTAGTCCTTGTGCCCAAAGAGTAAGCCCTACTGCTCGACACAGAGGCCCACCGGTAGGTACCTCCAACGGCCACATTCTCTCAGTCAGGGCCCTCACGTGCCTTGGCTTCCCTAGTGCACTCCTTCCTCGGGCACCGCAGACACCTCGGAACTATGTCCTGGGGTTCACTGTGATTCTTGCATGGATTTTGCACAGGTTACTAACAAGAGGTTTTACCAAAAGGCAGAATGTTTGGTTCCTTGTCAGGAAATGTTGGGGACCAGCAGATAACATAATGATTATGTTGATGGACTCACATATAGTCAACTGTGGTTCTAGTCCTGGACCCAGCAGCTTAAAACTCGTACCAGTTGTATGTGTGTGTGTGCCCAAGATCCTGAGAGGAGACTGGAGGAGAAAGGATTGCAGTGTGATTTCTCACTTTCTGTCTCTCTCTGTCTCTATGGCAAGCTCATGCACCCTACAGCAAAAAAAAAAAAAAAAAAAAAGATAGAAAAGGAATGTTGACTTTGATCATAAGAAATCCTTCCTTTTTTAGTCTCCTGAGAAGGAAATTTTTTACCAGATTTTCTTAGTGCTTTACTATGAGTCACCAATACCTTTTAAATAACAAGTGCCTCTCCGTGAGTTGACGTTTGTTACAGATATTGAAGTAAAGTCATGGAACAGGATAGACGGGTAATGGCTTCCTTTATAGGGTAACTGTTGAAGTGCCAGCATAGGCCTCGCCTGTCTTCCCAATTTCTGCCCATCGGCCTTTCCAGAGGAATAAAAGGAACATAACCTCTTTACTTTTTTCCACAGAAGGTGAACGGGCTTTACCATCAATACCAAAGTAAGTGTACTTTGTATGTATCCTTATTTAATTTTGTTGGAAACTTTAAGAAAATCATTATGCTTTATTATTTTCCTGAAAAAGTAAAATTTTGATGTATGAGATTAGGGAAAACAAGTATTTCTAGAAAGAAAGCCAACTGTCAGTGATATATTGAGCCTTCAGGAAAGTCACTATGCGTTTTTGCC